CCTCTCGTCAATATGCGTTTTTTGCATTGCATTACTGCAAAAAACGCATAATAAATAATTTCCATTGAACGGTCGTTCACTGAAAATTACCTAACTGTTTCTCTTTCCTGTTTTCCTTAATGCAAAAATTTAAGCGATTTACGGTAAGGGATGCACAAGCTAAGGTTAAGCAACAATCATTCATACAGCTCACGATTTGGTTGTTTCAAGTTTAGGCAAAAACGCATAGTCGCGCCGGCAAGCGCACTCAATGTAATATGAAATTGAAAAGGCTGCCAATGAAAAAAAAAAAAAAAAGAATTCTTATGAGTTCCAGACCAAGCAGAATAGAGATGGAAAACAAATCGCAAGGAAAGTTGGGCTAAAACGCCTATTCAGTAAACAAACCTAGGAAGTTGCCCAAATGATAGCAAATGCCAAATCACCCGCTAGCTTGGCAGCCAACGGCTCTTTTCAGGAGGGTATTCCGGGCTAAATTTTAATGATCAAAAGTAGGAAAATGTGTAAAAAAAAAACCTTGCAAATATCGGTTTCCGTAGACTGCCTATATCAACGTCAGCTACCACGCCATCTTTCATAGCACCGGCTAAAATGGTGTCGTTTCGTAGGCTGACACCAGTGTCTTTATCTAATTCATTATTCACAGTCACTTCGCCCTTCAATGCCCTGTTCATTTGTTCCTGTTGTCTCCTGAAGCGAGAAAGGTACCGAATTCATGCAAATTCTATTGCAAATTTATCATAATTCCATATTTTAGTTGGAGTATGGTGACAAAGTAAGAGGAAAAACCGTGGACGAGAAAATATGTCGAAAACTTCCGGCTTGAACCTTCACGTATCAGTGCATGAGACGTAGAAGCATGCGGGTCAAGGTCACACAGATAGGTAGTGTAATCCTAAGAATCCAAGTTTCTTGATTCTCGAGTTGAAAATTATCCGACTAAAACCTTCACGCGTCCGTGCGTAGGCCTGTACATGGAAAAGCAAGATGAATTTAGGCAAAAAGCTCACCGGCTCAAATCGTGCGGCTGTCCCCCAATCTTCGAAAACTTTTTCTCTTCCTGCAACAGAAAATAATAAATTTAATCACAATTCATTTGTTACTGAAGTAAAGCCAACAACGCTGGTAACAAAAGTTGATATTCATAACCAAAGTTAAAATAGTAGAAAAGGGGGGTTGGACTTAAGTGTCATGTGCAAGAAGACATTTTACGATGCAGTCTCTCTGTGTTTCATCTCTTAGCTGTAAACACAGGCCGAATTATGCGTGCGGGTAGGAGAGGAAATAAAAATGCATGAGATCAAGTTTATTTTACATTACCGGAAATTTTTAAAACCAAATAAACAGCAGATTAATGAGCAAGAAAAGAATCTGCCAAAAAAATAACAGGAAAAAAAGGAACCCACTTAAGTCCGCTAATGATACTCACTACAGCCCTAAATAATCGCACTTTTCATCACTAACATCAGAAACAGTTAAATGATAATGAAGCCTGCCAATACTGTATTTTCTCATTTGGAGGGAAGCCGATTTTGAAGAAAAAAAAGAATTTATTTATCCACGTCAGTTAAGCTAAAAATAATAGTAACCGTGAGATTTAAGAAAAAAATAAAAAAGAAAACGAAAAAAGCAAGCTTAAGTATTTTTTGCAGAATAGTGCAAGAGCATTCCGCTTTTTCCCCGCAATCCTCCAGCTTTCCCCAGTCTTGAATCGCCACTGTCCCTTTTTCAAAAGACGGAAAGATTCGTGTTTTTCAGAAATCCTAAATAGCATGAAGTTTTTTTTGCATGTTTTTTTTTGTTTTTGCAATTGCCCTAAAATTTCCAGTCGCTCGCGTTTTTTCCGTCCGTCCAGAAGTTTTTGGCGCCTTTTTTTGGACAGCAAATTGGCATATTTATAAATACGAAAGGAATCTGATGCAATAAAGGAGAAGCGCGAATTACAGCTGCTCGACTGCCACCGCTGAATTCTTCTTTGACAGGCTTCACTTGTGTCTCTTTTTCACAAGTTTTTGCTTTTTTCCATTTCAAATCGCATATTTCCATGTCCTCCGTAGAATTCTCGGAAGCATTCCTCTTTCGCAAATTGGCCTTCAAAAAGGAAACCAACTAGTCAGCAAGATGCGTCATTTCAGCACATTTTAAAAGTTAAAACCCCATCCTCTCGCTTCACATACTGAACGAAGACGCTACGAAGACTGCCCAGAGAGTACGGCCAAGCGTCAACCAAGATAAACTACAATCACCGTCTCTATTGT